GGTTTACATAGTACTTATAGAACTATTTTCACGCAAAATTATACGAACTAAAGTTTAACAAATTACTTTTACACAAAAGTTAAACAGACTAATAATATTCAAATACGACAGAGTTTACCAAATTTAGAACTTTTGGGTGTTGTGCACGAAATTCGAATTTAGACGTCACTGGACGTGACACGTACAAGTACACCGCGTGTCGGTTGAGATTTAAACTGAGTAGCCGTTGAGCGGACTACGTTCCGAACTTTACACTGAGAATATTACAATGAGTAGACTTGAGACGGCGTGATTATATTAATCACTTTTGAACCGGACGATGAGGATTATATTAATCCCATCGAACTTGTAACTTTGTGAGAAGACGTAAGACAAAGTTGAGAAGACGCGTGTGGTGGGAACGAGTCGTTGAGAACAATTGAATTATTGCTGCTTGAGAAGCCGGCGTCACGGCGCTTCTTCACCGCCGTGATGAGTTATGGCGAGTCTACATTGAGCGACAACTGTTGAGCGTTCTGATTGGGCAGATTATTTCCCAAACATTTCCGCCCGCAATCAGCAACGAAGTTGATGATGAGTTATGCTGTCTTGTGAGCGGCCACTGGGAGGACTCGAGCTTGGTGATCAGCCTGGTGAGTGTTGTTGTAGCCGTCTTCAGCGATACCACCCTGGTGAGTCCATCCTCCCCTGGCAGCAATTTGAGCACCCTAGCTATGGGCCATTTTCCTGGAGGCAAACGCTCATCAGTAAGGAGAACGAGAGAACCTACCTTAATCTGGTTGTGAGCGTGATGCCACTTTGAGATAGCTTGTAGTTGTTGTAAATACTGAGTTGACTACATGCGCTAGAAGTGTTGAACTCGTTGCTGGATAAACTGCCATCTGGAGAGCCGACTTGCTGAGATGTCCAAGACTGAGCCTTCAGGAACAGCATTGAGTGCCGTTCCGATGAGAAAGTGCCCTGGAGTGAGCACTGAGATGTCTTCTGGATCCTCGCTGAGCGGTTCGAGTGGTCTGGAATTGAGAATGGCTTCAACTTGAGCTAGGAGTGTGGAAATCTCCTCATACGTGAGCAGTGTGTCGCCAACTGATCTTCTGAGATGAAACTTCAGAGACTTAACTACTGCTTCCCATTTCCCACCCATATTGGGGGCTGCAGGTTGGTTGAAATGCCACTGTGTTTTGTCTTGAGCTAGCACAGAAAAGATCTCCCGATGTCCTGAAGAGCTTTCTGAGAAACATTGCATGAGCTTAACTTCAGCGCCCAAGAAGTTAGTGTTACAATCAGCGTAAATGTCTGGAAGGACACCCCGCCTTGAGGTGAAGCGTCTGTACGTTGCAATGAAGCCCTCGGCTGAGTAGTCTGAAACGACATCGAGATGAGCGGCCGAAGTTGATAGACAGACAAATACACAGATCCAACCCTTATGAGTCTTGGAGCCACGTCCCTTCCAAGTTTTGAGCGTGAGCGGTCCAGCGTAGTCAATGCCAGTGTGAGAGAACGGGCGTGATGGAGTGACTCGCGCCAGAGGTAGTTGGCCCATCAGTTGCTGAGCACGGATCCCCCTGTAACGAGCACACACCACACACCTGAGAACATATGACTTGCGTCGCGAGAAATCACTGGGGCTCTTCCTCCGATGATCCAGTAGAGTTGTCTGATGAGTGCCAGAGTCGACTGAGTGCCTCCATGCATCGTTTTCTTGTGAGCATGGGCGATGATGAGTTCTGAGAGCCTGGAGCTACGAGGGAGAATTGCTGGATGTTTTGCCTCGTACGTGAGTTCGGACCTTGAGAGGCGACCGCCCACCCTGAG